TGTATAAATAGGAGGAGAAATGAGGACAAAGAAAAAATGAGAGAATAAGAGAAGGACATCAGGGGCCAGCCATCCAGCCATGGAGCCACCCAGCCACCGAGCAAAAGTAAGGTATTTAGGAATAGAGGAAGACAAAATCCCCGAGGCCAAAGGTACACAGGTTAATTTACAAAAAGCTCGCAGCAAATAAGCCAAGTGAAAGCCGCGCATTCATAATTAAGAATAAGACTCCATGTGTGATTTATTTGAGAGCTAGGTGGAAGGCACTGAAAAAAAGCCATCAAACAGGTCTATAAAGCAGGAATCATTACTATTTTATATAAAAACAAAAGAGGAAATAGATCAAGATATACTGCTCCAATGAGACAACAGATTTCAATGACGATTTATCAGAACATTTTGTTTTCCTTGACTAACCATACTCTAGTGTCAAACTCCCATTTTAAGGCCAAAATGAAAATGTTTTAATGAAGATATTTAAGTGGTAGGCTCAGGGTCACAAGTTGACTACTGAAATTGACAGTACAAAACCCCACACTAATTTTTATGCAAATACCAACCTGTTTTCAGGACTGTAGCAGAGCTTGAACTCAGGGATGGTGATGCCTCCTGAAGTTCCTTTATTATACAGGGTTGTTTTGGCTATCCTGGGTCTTTTGTTTTTCCATATAAAGTTGAGTTTTATCCTTTCAAGGTCTGTGAAGAATTGTGCTGGGATTTGCATTGAATCTGTACAGTGCTTTTGGCAAGATTGCTATTTTTAATATGTTTATCCTACCTATCCAAGAGCATGGGAGATCTTTCCATTTTCTGGTATCTTCTTTAATTTCTTTCTTTAAAGACACAAGGTTATTGCTATATAGGTCTTTCACTTATTTGGTAAGCGTTACCCCAAGATACTTTATGTTGTTTGTGGCTATTGTAAAGTATGATAGCCCCTTTATCATCTGTATATACAAGGACTACTGATTTTTTTTTTTTTTTTTTTTTTTTTTTTTTTTAGTTTACTTGTATCCTGCTAATTTGCTGAAGGAGTTTATCAGCTGTAGGAGTTCCCTGGTAGAGTTTTTCGGGTCACTTATGTAAACTATCGTGTCATCTGCAAATAGAGATAGTTTGCCTTCTTCCTTTCCAATTTGTATCCCCTTGATCTCCTTTTGTTGTCTTATTGCTTTAGCTAGAACTTCAAGTACAATATTTGTAATGAATCTTCTGCTTTTGTTGTGTGGAACAATTTGAGGTAAATTGGTATTAGCTCTTCTTGGAATTTCTGGTAGAGTTGGTACTGAAACCATCTGGCCCTGGGATTTTTTGGTTGGGAGGCTTCTGATGACTGTTTCTATTTCATTAGGGGTTAAAGATTTATTTAAGTTGCTTTATCTGTTCTTGACTTAATTTTGGTAAGTGAAAGCTATACAGAAATTTGCCCAATGAATGAAATCGAATTGAAAATCTTGATATTAAACCACACACCTATAAACACCTGATTTTTGACAAAATAGCTAAAATTATACAATGGAAGGAAGACAGCATCTTCAACAAGTGGTTGAAGTGAACAGTGTTCTCAGTGAACAGACACTGAGATGGACAAATAATAAATGGGATCTCCTCAAACTGAGAAGCTTCTCTAAGTCAAAGAACACAGTTGAAAGGCCAAATGGAAGCCCACAGACTGGGAAAAGATCTTCACCAACCCTACATCTGAAAAAGGGCTGATCTCCAAAATATACAAAGAACTCAAGAAACTATTCAACAAAACACCAAATAACCCTATTAAGAAATGGGGTACAGAACTGAATAGAGAATTTTCAATAGAGGAATCCAAAATGGCTGAAAGACACTTAAGAAAGTGCTCAACATCCTTAGCCATCAGGGAAATACAAATCAAAACAACTATGAGATACCATCTTAATCCTGCCAGAATGGCTAAAATTAGAAACACCAATGACAGCATATGTTGGAGAGGATGTAGAGAAATGGGAACACTCCTCCACTGCTGGTGGGATTGCAAACTTGTACAGCCATTTTGGAGATCAGTATGGAAGTTCCTTGGGAAAATGGGAATCAGTCTACCAGAGGACCCGGCAATTCCACTCTTGGGCATATACCCAAATGGTCCACATTCATATAACAAAGACATCTGTTCAACTATGTTCATAACACCATTATTTGTAATAGCTAGAACCTGGAAGCAACCTAGATGCCCCTCAACTGAAAAATGGATAATGAAGATGTGGTATATTTATACAATGGAATACTATTCATCAGGAAAAAAAAAAAATGGAATCTTGAAATTCACAGGCAAATGTATGGAACTTGAAGAAACCATCCTGAGCGAGGTATCCAAACCAAGTCACAAAAAAGAGGAACTACTCATTTATATATGGTTTTTAAACACAGACAAACGATCACCAGACTATCATTCACACCACCAGAGAAACTAGGATACAAGGAAGAATCTAAGAATCATATAAGGTCCCTCATAGAAGAGGGAAGGAACAAGATTTCTTGAGCATATTGGAGGGTAGGGGGTAGGGGAGACAGTGAGTGGAGAGGGAGTTAGGAGAAAAGAAGGCAAGGAGAAGAAAACATGTGAAACCAGGAAGATTGAGTCAGGGGATGAATAGATGATAGCAAAAAAAAAAAAAAAACAAAAAAAAAAAAACATAACGGAGGGAGGGAGCCATTATAGGTTTGAAGAGAAAACTGACTCTAGAGAAATGTCCAGAGACCTAGAGACCTACAAAGATTACCCCAACTAACAATCTGAGCAACAGTGGAAAGGCTACCATAAATGACCTTCCCTGATAATGAGATTGATGACTAACTTATCCACTATCATAGAGCCTTTATCTAGTAGCTGATAAACAGAAGCAGACACCCACAAATAAACACTCAGCCAAACTGGAATCCAGATGCAGAGAGGTAGGACAAGACCAGGCTACAGAAACACACTGAGACAGCTAACCTGAACAGGGGGGAGCTAATGGGCCCCCAGACTGATAGCTGGGAATCCAGAATTATATCGACTCAGACCCCCTGAACATGGGTCTCCGTTAGAAAGACTGGGCATTCTAAGGGACCTCTGACAGTGGAACCAGGATGTATCCCTGGTGCACAAAAGGAGTTTGGGAACACATTCCCCATGGGGGGATACTCCCTTGACCTAGAGGCAAGAGGGAAGGCCAAGTCACTACTCCAAATGACTTGATAGATTTAGACAACCCATCCAGGAAGGCATCACCCTATATGTGGAGTGGAGGGGGGGGGCGGTTGGGTGGAAGGGTGGTGGTGAGGCATGAAAGGGTGGAAGAGAGGGAGGGAGGAATGGAGAACTGGGATTGATATGTAAAATAAGAAAAAAAAATACTGTTCATTTCATTTTAGAGTTCTTCTATAAAAATATTTGTATTTTGAATCCCCTTAAGCTATACATAGATGATTAACACCATGTTATTTGAAGTATTAGTTTGTGAATAAAAGGTTTGTAGCATTTTTTCATTTTGCTTGCATTTTAGAAATAAAGTATATTTTGAAATAAAAACAAAAATTCTTCCTATAGATGGATCCACAACATTTCTCATACATTTTAATGATTCATGGTGATAATTATTTAATGTACTTATTTCCTAACTTATTTACATATTAAAATCACTCAGGTTGCTTTCAACTACCCCATTCCCAGGTTATGTCAAAATTAGCTAAAAAAGATTGGATGGAGGCAAAATTGACCTCAATATTTAAGATTATTTTTATTAGTGTGCAGTACCTGTGGAGACCAGAAGAGAGTGTTAGATCCACTGGTGCAGGAATTACAGGTTAGGTGCTGGGAATCTGACCTACTTGCTAGGAACCAAACTCATGTCCTCTGGAAGAGCAGCAAGTGCTCTTAACCATACAGCCATCTCTCCAGCCCAAGCCTCAATAATTTTTAACCTTTGAAATGATTCCAATATGCATTAAATTTGAGGACCAGAGCTTTAATTATTAAACTTTAATGTTCCAGGTAGTAGCAGATCAATAAGCCATCAATTATGTAAATCTACCATGTTCAAATTTTTCTTTGAAATAAAACTAAGATATCAAAATAAACTATCATAGAACAGCAATAATGGCTACTTAACAAGTAGTTAAATACTTAATTACTTAATTAATTAGTAACTTAATTTCTTTTAGCTGGTGATACTTGGAAACACAGGAATCCATACACACACACACACACACACACACACACACACCTGAGCCAGCAACCACAGTACACTCACACTCAGAGACATATGTCCACTGTTGCTCCCTTTAATGAAATCTCACAGTAAGAGCCTTATCATGGCCAAAAACAAAAGAAAGAGATCCTGTAAGCCTTTTTCCAAAGCTAATGCTAATCAACGATTAAATGAAAACCAACCGGCTGCCTTTTATAAGCATATTTAACTGTCACAGGTTTTGAATTCCCTAATAGAAGGCACTATGATTAAGGAGTAATACAAACAATCAAGAAAGGATTTTTAATCATTGTGCATAAGAAAAACAGAATTAACATACAATCACTGAAATTGTTTCTTGTTCTTTCTAGTTATAAACCTTGCTTGTAATAAATGTTTGTCAGTTCTATATTCATGAGATTATAACCAACCCAGTTTCTCAATTTTCTAACTGTTTCTCCAAGGAAAAGCCTTCTATGACATTTCTGGTCACTAGTTTCAAAGATATAGTAAAAACTGAATGCTCCTTGGGACTGCTAAATTAAGTTTAGGCTAAGTATAGTGGCTCATATCTGTAGTCCCAACACTTAGGAGGCTAGAGCTATGCTATGAATTCAGGGCCAGCTTGGACTAGAAATAAGATCTTGTCTCAGAAAAAAAAATCAATTCTACCAAGTAGAGAATATATTTACTCATTTCTGATCATTATATTATACTTTCATAGCAATTCAAGGGTTTTCTTAATATTTCAAAAGCAATCTAATCCAATGTAATTCAGAAGGAAAAATGTCTACTTACAGGTATCATCCAGTTGGCCAGGTCACCGTATTTAGAAACCTGCATTGCTCCTAACATTGTTAGATTGACATGTCCCCTGTGAAATAAAAAAGAAATATAATGCAAACTTCACAAACTTTATATCCCCTTTGCTTAAAAGCATCGGAAATTAAAATAATCTTATGCCCCTTAAATGCATCTATTTTCCCACTCCCTGCAATTGATTTCTAAATAGATCAGCTCCATGCTGGTGCAAAGAAGTAACCATTAAGAGTCCTTTAAAAAAATTATAGCTTATATTGTCTCCAAAAACAAACTAAACACAGGTGTGCACAGTGAAGTTTGTTTCCTCCACGGGGGTGGGTGGGGAGAATGTGACTTGTTTCAAAGACAAACAGTAGCTGGAAAGTGAGCCCACAGTTTGAAGAAAACATTGGGAATACCTTATAATGTTATTTCAATCAAGCTGGCACAAAGATGCAAACTCCATGTAGGGGGTCATTTCAAAGTAATAGGGTGGATATTTCCATGCCCAACCCTCAGTGGGAATAATTTCACAGCTTTCTGCAGCTGAACAAACCCTGATCGTTTAATGGGACTGTGCCTCAGAGTCTTGCTCATAGGCCCAGGGATGACTCAGCCCACTCCAAACTGAGTGAATATGAGGGGCTGCATTATTACATACCCTCTAATCATCGCGAATGATTCATCACTGGAGAAGAAAGAGGCTCCTGGAAGAACAGTAACTGTTTCCTTTCCTAAAGGCACACACAAAAGAAAGGAGGAAGAAGGGGAGGGAGAAGTATTAGATCTGAGGTCATCATGATGGACAGAGAGAGCTGTACTATCTCTGTTTCTAGAAGACTTTACAATCCAACCAAAATGGAACTGTACATGGGTAGCAACTGTCCACCCCGAGAAGAGGTGTATTTTGTCAGTAACATTGCTTAGTTTTGTCCCTGCAAAAAGATAACAACCAGCATTTAAGGGATTACTGTTTGGAAATTCTCTACAGGCAAAGCATCCCTTTCTGTCTATACAATGCCCTTCAGCTTTGCAGCTTCAGACACTGACAATCTGCAGCTAAAGACTAAAGCTTGCCAAGGATCTAACACACATGCAGTGGCTACAGGCAATAACCCCACACTGTGAAATAGGTTTTAAAAGAAAACCTCAGATGGCAGCTGTGAGGTGAAGAATGGTCATCAACTTGATTATGTTAGTCATTTCAGTATGAGCACACATATCAAATCAACATATTAAATGTTAAACATTGAATATATACTACTTTCTATGTCAACTTGACACAAGCTAGAATCACTAGAAAGGGAGGCTCAATTGAGAAAATGCCTCCATAAGATCTGACTGTAGGAAAGCCTGTGGGGCATTTTCTTAATTAGTGATTGATGTGGGAGGGTCCAACTCATGGTGGGTGGTGCTGTCCCTGGGTTAGTGGTCCTGGGTATTATAAGACAGCAGGCTGACCAAGACAAGAGGAGCAAGCCAGTAAGCAGTACTCCTCTGTGGCCTCTGCAACAGCTCCCGCCTCCCTGTTCTTTTCCTATTTGAGTTCTTGTCCTGACTTCCTTCGATGCTGAACAGTGGTGAAGAAGCGTAAGTTAATAAACCCTCTTCTCCCCATTTATTTAGAAAATCTAAAATAAAAATAAATGAACAATATAAAAAGGACATACCTAATGTCTTATTATCTTTAAGCCTGACCCTCCCTCCTCACATGCAAGTGCATACACACATCCATCTTGATTTTTAGCCCCGATAAGCTGAGAGCTTCTGTCAGATCATACTTTAATGAAATCAGAGAAGTCTTCTGAACACACTTAAAACCAATCTCTAAGAGATGCTCTTCCAAAAATGGCACATTGTTATAAAAGTTCAGAACTGAAAACAAAACAACAACAACAACAAAAAAAAAAAACAACTTCCCATTTAGCTGGGTACAACTGCACAGACCTATAATCCCAGCACTCAGGAGCCTAAGGCAGAAGGGTTACCGAAGTCTACATAGGGAATTCCACCCAGCCAGGATTACAGACTAAGGGAGACTGTTTTGAAAATTAAAGATACCTATATAAATAAAACCTCCAGTATCCAGTTAACAAACTTGCTAACTACAAGTGCCTTGGTCAGACCCAAGCTGCCGGACTTGTGGGATCTACTTCCTGTTTGATCCAGAGTTTGAGAGCATCATATGGTCTCTGCTCCAAAAGTGCTTAAAAGGCCACCTGACTGAAGTAAGTCAACAGTCCAGAGCACTTCCTCCTCTGCTGGAATGCAGTGAGGTAGCTAAGAAGAGGAAGCTTTGGTCGAGAGGTCAGAATGCAGGAAGAGCTCTTGGATGTGTCAGCACTGGGAGAGGTCTGGCCATCCCCAGCTGCACACACACTGCATGCACCACAGCCGCTGTGGCAGGCTTCTCAAGGACTAGAGAAAGCTGATGCTTTCATCAATAATCCCCAAGCTCAAGTATGGGGGAAAAGCAAGCCTATTTATATCACACTGAAATATTTATTACCCGAGGGAGTCTGATTCTAAATAATGGAAACATTTTCTCATCTTCCAAAGTACCACAAACCTGAAACTCTCTGGGAAACACTTTCTGGTGTGGTTAGAAGTGGCTTTTAGACAGCACACAAGACGTAGAGGATTAAGTGAGATAATGCATGTGAAGTCCCCAGTCAGAGTCGGGCACAGAGCAGAACTCTGAGATGGCAGCTGTCATGATGATCATTGTTCCCACTCTCTCCAAACCACTCAGAATAAGAGGCAGAGCTGCCTCCCCTTCCCCCAGGTGTAACTGCATGGGATCATAAACTGGCTCATACTGCAGGGCTCCCAGCTAGTTTGCATGAGCCCTAAGCTTAAGGACATGAACACTACACCTGGACCTCATCCACCCAGGTCTCTGTCTGGCACAATCAGATCCTAGCCACTTCTGTAAGGTGGACAGGCATGGAGGGAAACCTATAGAGGGCATGAAAGAGACATAAACATATCAAGTCTTTGGTTTCCTGAGTGTTAAATCACAATGGCTTCCAAAGCACATTCTCCACTGACAATATATTTGAGGTGTTTTTTAAATTAATAATAATAATAATAAAATGATGTGATCATAACATATAATTATTATTATTATTATTAGCATTTTGTAGGCAATTCTGAGATCAATGGGATGCATTCTGCTGCACAAAGCATAACTGTATTTAAAGTCCCAAGAACAAGCTTATGGAAAAGTATCCATTCTTCTGAAGCAGAGTCAACTGTCCCCATTTTTATTTATTTATACTATTATGTTAAGTGTATGTATGTGTCTTCTAAGGCAGCATTATATTCTTTTGAAGCAGTCATCAACCCACATTCTTATTTATGTATGTTACTTCTTTTGAATGTATATATGGGTATGCATGTGAGGTCAGGACTCATTTCTCTCCTGCTACCCTGTGAGATCCAGGGATTGAACTCAGTTCAGGTCTGTACCTAACCTACTCTCTACCCATGAGCCACTTCCTAGCCTGACTTTTACTCATTCATAATTGCTGTAAGCACTCCAGCTGGCTATCCAATCCAGCCTAAAAACATACATATTGTAACATATGAGTAGCATTATTCAGACTGTATTTATATGCTTAGGAATATACACACATTAACTAAGAGCTTTGAAGGGAGAAAAGATAAGGGATGTGCTGTTATTATATTATAGTCTCAAAAGATAAAACAATTAAAATCATACTTGCTTATGGGTTTATTCATACAGTGAATTTTCTAATCAGAAGAAACATTTCGGCCTCCTCTCTAAAGCTGACCCTTCCCAATTATGAAAACATGAAACCTCTGTTAGTGTTCTGAAACGCACAGAAGATTATAACTATGATTACCCTACTGTGCAATAGCACATCAGAACTCCTAACTATTATCTAATCATAACTTAGTACTCACTGGTTAGCCTTTCTCAACTCTGCCTTCTGCCTGCTGTGAGAACCACCGTTCTATTCTCAACTTCCATGGAACTGATTTTTGTTTTTGGTTCTACATATGACTGACAATATATATGACTTGTCTTTCTGTGCCTGACCCATTTTGCTTAATATAGTCCACACACTGTCTAAAATGACAAAATATCATCTTTTCTTTAATCCTTTAATAGTATTCTACTATGTGTTTTATTTATCCACTGATTATTTGATTAAAAACTCAGCCTGTTTCCATTTTATTGGCTCTAGTAGACAGTATTGCAATAAACACAGTATAGACAGATGCCTCTGTGATTTGCTTTTGCTGTGATTTGCTGTGTTTATTTCTTTTGGTAATATACCCCAAAATAGAATTACTGGATTATATGATAGTTCTACTTTTGGGTGCCCTATTTTTAAACATCCAGTATCTAAATGAATCCAATACCTAAATATACTATGTTGAATCCACGATGTTCTAATGCAACATTCAGGATTTGCTCAGTAACTATAACAATAAATCAATATAAAGATTAATAGCCTTGCCACCAATTCAAAACCCCACCCAGGTATCCAGTCCGCATGACAGCCAGCACCAGGTAAGATATGAAGCTTCCTGCTACATCTCTGTCCTGCTGCATTCTGGGTCCCTTTCCAAGCACACACTCCATATATATAATAGACAGAATCCACCAAATGCTACTCTAAGCCTCTCTCCAGTGAATGGCAGTAAAATTCAGAGACTCTAGCTTCATAGTTGCTGAGAACAAGTGACACCTGAGTGCTGAGCTCTAAACAAGTCATTTATACCCTTCTACGGCTCCCAGAAGCTGCAGAAGAGAGGGCAGAAAGAATGTAAAAGTTGGAAGATAGGAAGAAGGGCTGTAATAAAATATCCTATAGATAAGACGTGCACATTGATATCATGAACTCACAGTAACTACAGGTTCCTATACTAAGTCTAAACAAGAATGGTCCGGTCAACAGCCAGGTATGGATAGAGAAGGGGCTCCCCAACGCCAACACTCATTAATTAGTGAACTATTTGCTACTAACAGATTCAGGAAGCAAGGGAGTCCCTGCCTTCAGTTGTGTATCTACTGCTGACCCCAACAGGCTCCAATGGGTTGTCCCAACACAATGGTCACACAGATAGCCATGGTTAAATAAGATGGATCACAAAACAATTGTTGGGAATCTGGGGTTGGGGAAAGCAGGCAAAGAGATAAAAGGGGTGTGAGAACAAAATAATCAGAATCCATTAATACATGAGTGACAATATCAAACAACTCTTCTCTGTATATCTAAATGTTTTCATACTGTTTTGTCAAGAGAGTTCATTAAGTTTATCCTTACCTAGTCTGTTGGTTCATAATTCAATAGTAGGTAACTATTATGAGCACTGAACAAAGCTACAAACAAAATTCAACTACCCTATACTATAAGTTCTCAAACATGAATTCCCAGCAGACTCACATGGAGGACTTTGGCATATGTATCTGCTATTGCTTCCAGCTCTCCCAGTTTCTAATTCAGTACATAGGTAGCGGGGGCTGAGATCTAAGAGTCACTGGTCATGCTGACACTATGGATATGGAGACTTCAAGAACCAATACCCTAACCTAAAGGGGGAAAACAGCTTATAATCCAGCCAGAAAGAGAAATAGTTACAAGACAAAATGATGGATGCTCAGGAGAAGTTACCAAATGTGTTGTAGGTTCTGAGGGTGGAACATTCTTGTCTATGGAAGGACTGGAAGTGACCAAGTGGGCCAAAATGAGAAAGATGGTTATAATGCACTCCAATGAAAATTACGAGCTTAGAGATGGGGATAAAAATGAAGGGGAGAATCCGGAGAGCACACAGTGCAGAGGCCACCAGAACAGAGGGATGACCCTAAGCACAGAAAATCCCATAGATGTTAAGTGTAGAGCTGCCTATACTTCCATATGCAGGCCTATGATTCTCCAGAAATGGGAGAGCCCTCAAAATCAGGGTGAGGCTGTTCTATTCATAGGATGTTTGACACTGTCTCTGGCCTCCAACTATTAGATGACCGTAGTATTCACTCTCAGAAGTAACAGTCAAAACTGTCTTCAGACACTGTCAAATATCCCCAAGAATGTTGAAAACAACCAGTGTCAAAGTTAGGAGGGGCTTGTCACAGGCCACAAGATGCACAAGATGATTCTTTCTAAAGCAATTTAAAAGCATTACTTTTTATATTAAAATAGGGAAACAGCACTAATAGGAAAGGATACATAGTTCATATTTAATGAAAAAGCAAAAGCATGGGAATTATTAGAATTCCACAGCTACTCTAGGTTTGCACCCAGATTTTCATTGCACCTATCTGCTGCCATCTGCACCTTTCTAAAGCAGGCTTTTCAGCAGGTATCAATCAGTGTACAGGCAGAAAATCATGTAGCAGGGACAAGGCACATTGGGAGCTGAGACTCTAATGAATTGATGTTGGGCATTTTAAGGTTACAGTGGGATTTCAGAACTTGAAAATTGGTAGCTCCATTGGGACTGAGCTACTTTGAAGCTTCATGAGTAGGAAACCCCTCCCATCCAACAATGTGACTGAAAAGAATTAGCTGTTCTTCCAAGGAAAATGGACTTTAGAAATTCAAAGCCTGAGACTTGGGAAATGGAATTAATCATTATCATTTTGCAAATAACCAACTGACATAATAAATTAATTAAAGCAAGCAGCAAATATTTTCACAGACCAGTGAGCTAATTGCTAAAGGATATAGTACAATTCAAGTAAAGCATTGGTTAAATGTCACTGCAGCACCACACTGGGACTTTCAGAGTTGAGTTGTGTTAGCTAATTCATATATTTAACCTGAATATGTATAACTTTCAAACCCCCAGTTTCAGATGTCATTCTACTTGACAGCTGGACTTTATGTTCAGCTCGTATTTCATCTGAGAGTTACACATACTATTTTTGACTACAAAGTAAGAACAATACTTCTGTGTGGGCAGAATGAATAAAGAAAGACACTTAAAATCCTCCTAGGACATAAAAGAACAGCCAAAAGCCACCAGAAGAGCAATGTTACCTCAAGCATTATGACAAAAGACCAAAAGTCACCAAAAGACCTGACCTGTTCATGCTCTGTTACATTGCCCCTGTCAATTATCAGGTTGATGATAAAAGGCAAAGCATGTGACTACATGAACAGAGGAGAAAATGCAAATCCCCCAACTCAAAGAAACCCTCTATGTGTGTTCAGTTCACATCCTTGGCATGAAGTCAGTGGCCTGGTGCATACTTAAGCAACCCCACCTTTAGAGGCTGCCCTCTCACGCTAGCTAATAAGACCTACGTTACAGAATGGTAAGCATTACCTACAATCAAAACCCCAGGGCAGCAGCCTGATACTATGCATCCACTCCCACTTTCTCTATCCACAGAAAGCTGGTATATTTCCACTTGGGATTGGCCAACAGAGGGCCCAGGCAGGAGATGGAGACCACAAAGAGTATCTTAGTTGACCAAGGTCACTGTAATTTGGTGATGGTCTTTTACCTAAATGCCAGTTTCTTTCGGGTGGCTCTTTCCTGCCACCAATTGTTAAGGATAAAGAGGAAATTCTCTGTAGAACTTCCTCTTGTTTGTGAGTGCCCTTCATGATGTCCAATCCCTAGTAAGTTGCCTGCCTTTGAACTCTTCTCAGTAACACCATGCAAGGGTGTGTTCTCTATTTTCAGGCAAGACCCTGCGATCCATTAAGGCTCTACCATGAAAATGTGCCTCTGCCTGCATTTCTTCAGTTAAGACTGAGTAAGAGAGATCTCAAAGACTAGAAGTGCCATTTCCCACTTTTGTCATAAATGCAGTGAATTTCTCCCAGGAGAAGACGAAGAAACAGATTTAAACTGGTTGCCGATATTTGACACAGAACTAAACTAGTAGAAAAAGAAAATGGAAAAGGATGAAGTGAATTTACCTGCATTGATGAGATCAGCATCAGCTTCATGTTTTAGTGGGTATGGACCCTGTCAAATACAGCACACATTCAGTGAGCAACAGTATCACATTTCCCATCTCCCCCTCCCAGTCATGTTTAAATACCTTCCCTGAAGATCTAGAAAGTTAACATCCAAAGACTAAGGTAACCTTTTCAAAATTAATCCCTGGGTTTTTACTACTCTTTTTCTCATATTGATTATGACTGAGCAAGTGAAAAATAGTTCCTGTAATTACCAGTCTGCTTTAAGAAACCTATTCTTTGGTGCCTGCTATGTACGTACCATAACAATGTGTTGTCTATAACTTCATGCAAGAATTACACTGATGGAAGATGTCATTCTGTAAATATGTTTCTCTTATTGGTTAATAAATAAATCCCTGTTGGCCAATAGGAAAGAAAGATAGGGACTAGGAGACAAGGAGGATTTAGGAAGAGTGAAGGAGGAGATTCAAAATGTAGGACCGAGAGTGAAGAACCCTGGACCCTCTCCAGTAAGATAAGACCACATGGAAACACTTAAGATTAATAGAAATGGGTTAATATTTTAGACACAGCTAGCCAATAAGAAATTCTAGTAACAGGCCAGCAGCTTTATATCTAATACAGCGCCTCTGTATGTTATTTGGAGATGGCAAGGCTCTGGGACCAGGTGGATGAAAAACTGCTGGTAACAATGACACAATCAAGGTGTGTGTGTACATTTCTAATACTTTTTCTTTGTGTTCATTTCACTTTATTATTATTATTATTATTATTATTATTATTATTATTATTATTTGTTCTGTTTTGTTTTTTGCCTGTTGTTTTTGTTGTTTTCTAGAGAGGAAGACAGGTGGTATGGAGTTGGAAGAATGGGAGGTGTCGAGGATCTGGAAGGACAGAGAAGGGAGATCAGAATATATTGCATGAAAGCTCCCATCCTTAACTCAGAAGCTATCTCCAACTGACAACTGCTCACAAAGGGAAAATTAGTTTTTTTCCAACTGAGTCTAACCTGGTATACAAACAACACTTAAGCAAAGGCCCCATGCCCAGCCATAGATGGCCAACAGAAAATGAACCTAATGGTATTTTTGGAGGGTTTTCATATCAGAATGCTTTGTCTTTTTTTTTAAACCTTACAGGTTTTGCTTATATATTATGGTTTCTGATTTTGTGTTTTCATGGGATCACTGTGTATGACAGAATATGTGTATATGTATATGTTTACATTTATGTGTTTCTTGTGCTTTTTCTTTGACTCTTTTTTTCCCCCCTTGGTCCTATTCTGATCTGGGTTTTTGTTTGTTTGTTTGCTTGCTTCTTTTCTTTTTCTTTTTTTAGTTGTCTTTTTGTTTTCTAATGAGAAAAAGAGAGGTGGGTGAATCTGTGTGGGTGGGGAGGTAGAGCGAATCTAGGATGACTTAGGAGAAAGGAAATCATGATCTGAACACATTGCATAAAAATCAATTTTCAATAAAAATTAAAATTATTTTTAAAAGTATATGCTGTATGAAAAATGTATTTTCAATAACAAAAAAGAAAAACAATAACAAAATAATCTCCTGTTTCAAGTTTGTGATCTTACTAACACAAATTATTTTGGTCCACACAGAGCCAGTAGGCTCCAGTTAAACATACCTACCACCCCTTCTGGTAGAAGAATGAATGCCACCTAAACTTGTGTTATTTGTTTACAAAGACTCAGAACAGCAGTTCGTTTTGGTATACAACACTTTGGAGGTCTGAATTTGGGATTCTAATTTTACCTCTTCTTATATCTATACATTCTTACATTCACTTTGCTCAGTCCTTCTCAGTAAAATATTTTTAAAAATATAATTGTGCATGTTTGTATATGCGTATTATGAATGCATGCACATAGAAATGTGTATTTATGTGTATGTTTTGGTGGAAATCAAAATGAGGACTTCACGTACTATATCAGGTTTTCTACTGCATTTGAGGTACAGCCTTTAGCTAATGTTGTATTTCTTTTTATAAGGAAACCCTAGTGAATAGAGCCAATAACTTTTATATAATGACATAGACTAACAGGAAGGAAGGGGGAAAGAGTTGAGTTAAGAATGAGTGAATACTGGCTTGAATTTTTACACACTGCCAAAACAAGGACTGAAAACTATCCTATAAATAAACTGAATTAACATCTAATGTTTTAGGATTCTGCCCATTTCCCTTTCAATGCATAACATGGATAATTCACATAAACTGACTGTCTTCAAAATGAAAAAGCTCACCACTCTAGAGAACCTTGAAGGTTCCTCTAAAGTGCATGTCTTTGATTTCAATAGAAATCTGCTTCTATCCAAACACACAGCATTTTTATGTCTCTGAAAATAGCCAGGAGATGGCTCAGCCAATCAGTATCTACTACATATCTGTGGCCATCATCCATACAGGATATATATTATAATTTTATCACAATAACAGTAGAAATCTACTGAAAAGTCATAAAACACTGGAAAATTATAGTGAGCAAACTACAAATATCATTTGCTATAGTTCATAGTTACAGAAAAGTTTAATTGTTCAGAAGCAGACACCCACAGCTAAATACTGAGCCAAACTCCTAGAATCCAGTTGCAGAGAGGGAGGAGTGGTAAGAAAATGGGATCAAAATCAGACTACAGAAACCCACAGAGACAGCTGACCTGAACAAGGGAGAGCTCATGGACCTCCCAGACTGATAGCTGGGAAACAAGCATTGGACCAACTCAGACCCCCTGAAAGTGGGCCTAAGTTAGAAGGTCTGGACAGTCTAAGGGACCTCTGACAGTGGAACCAGGATGTACTTCTGTTGCACGAAAGGACTTTGGGAGCATATTTCCCATGGAGAGATACTCCCTTAGCCTAGAGGCAGGAGGGAGAGCATAGTCCCTACTCCAAATGACTTGACAGATTTTGATGATCCCTCCTAGAAGGCATCATCCTCCCTATGGAGTGGAGAGTGGGATGACAGGGGTGAGATGGTATGGGAAGGAGGGAGGGAGAGAGAGCTGGGATCAATATGTAAAATAAGAAAAAATAATTATATACATATAAAAAGTTTAATTGTCATCTTACCAAACCCAAGACTCCATTTTCACTTTGAAGATGAACAGTCATATTTGGACTAATGAAGTTGCTGGCCAGAAGTGGTATCCCTATACCCAAATTAGCTGGAAGAAAAAAGTTAAGGCACAACATAGCAAAAGCAGAGATGGTGCTATAAGTCTTTGCACATACAAAAATCAGAATGAGTGTCTCCATTAGAGGTAAATGGTTACAAATATAATAACAATATATCCTCTGTGCACTCACTGATAATCCTTCTAAAAGAAAATCCCTGATTAGTACCTGTCTTATTAACATTAATATGCTTTATCAAAAGACCAAAGGATTGGCTTCAGGAAATGACCAAGGTCATTTAAACAATAGTGTAAGTCATACTTTATTATTACTACTGTGTTCAGCAAGCTTGGGTTGTATGACTGACATTATTGAGCATTGATTGGCCTTTGTTTAAGAACTATGCAAAACTCTCACTAAGAAAAAAGATGATTGAAAACTCCAAAAAGACAGTATTGTTGAATCTAAAAAAAGAGTTCTGATTAGACCAAACTGTGTCATTTCAAGTCTATCAACTGTCCTGATGGCTCATCATCAATAAGTATATCTGAGGCATGATCAAGAAAGTGGAGAGGATGCATCTCAGCAAACACTCTGAGGGCACAGAAGTGACCATGGACCACAATATTCCAAAGGACAATCTGAGGGTATTGAATCTTGTCCTTTATATGATCTCAGTAGGTCAATGCTACAATTTGTTTTTTTGGTGTTTTGTTGTTGTTGTTGTTGTTTTCTCTGAAGAATGGTTTATGTTTTGGGCTGACTTTTGGACATGGATGCTGATTAGTTCTTCATGATGTGAGACTAATCCTGCTCTCAACAGGCAGAAGAGGTAAACCAGTGATATTTTCTCCATTGTTCTACAATATCACTTCTCAGAGAAGACCTTGCCAGAACTAACTTAAAAGAAAGAAAAAAAAAAATGGTTCTCTGAATCATAGCCAGAGAGAGAGAGAAACATATACATAGTTTAAATACATCAAATTATCAACTCCCAAGGCCAAAATTATAATGTAATGGCCCAGGTCACTTCTTGTGGATACAGAAAGTCTGTGAAACTACACTGACAGTCTAACCAACTATAGTTAAATATCAGTGTAATTTGTACTTTATTTCTCAGTCATGACAGAACATGATGTATACTAATTATGCTATGGACAATTATTTTCAGGTAAGCCCAACCCTAGTTTCAAACTCTGAAGCTAAACTCTTCTACATGCTTATTATATTAGTTTTTAAATACTTTAGTAAGAAGCCAGGCATAATGACACACTGCTTTAATCCCAGCACTCAGGAGAAAAAGGCAGATGGATCTCTGTGAGTTTGAGGCTAGCCTGAACTATATGGTGACTTCTAGTACAACCAAGGCTATTTAGAGAGGCCACATCTCAAAAAAATGTAAATAAAAACAAAATATTTTAGTAGGACATATGCCAGGAAACAAATGGCCATGCACATTTAGTGCTGGCTAAGGTAGATAACTGAGAAAGACCATTAAGGTGATATGAGTTACAGACATTTGTCATTGGCAATACAGCAACAGTGAATAAAGAACAACACTAGGAGCCATAATCATATGGAATGAGAATCAGTGCTTACATATCAATGGTGAGTCAGTTGAGAAAAGCCCAGTGGCTGATACTCACTCAGTCTGGGCTGATACCCATTCAGTCTGGGCTTACTCCCTCCCTTGCCTATACAGAAGACAGGTGATAGCCAACACGATACTCACTTCCCTTATGTGAATTCTCACCACGGCATAAGCGCAAGTTGGAAAAAAAAATCAAGAAATAAAGAGCGTTAGAGGTGAAAATAAAGGAGGAACAGAAAGTTCTCTCAATCGAGAGATACTGGAAAAGGCTGTAACTCATAGGAAAGGGAAACTCATACAACAGATAGTTCCTAGTTCTGTCTGCTCCAGGTCTATAAATACAGCTTCACTGGAGTCAAAAGTCCATAAATATTTATCTTATTATACACCATGTGCATTATAGTTCAATGGCTACTATACTGAAAATAATCAAAATGGTGAACATATACTGAAAACTAAGCAAAATGGTAAATACTGTCACTGTTATTTAAGTGAATTCAAACTTCAGGCACCAACTGTATTAAATCATGTCCACTTTGGTATTTTCTGCCAAAGATGAAAGGTGGGAGATACAGAATTTGAATCTTTCATTAAGTACCTTAACAAAATATCCAACAAAAGAGTCCATTCATAGGGTCTTTTTCAAAGGAAACAGAGGCTTGCTAAGAAGTGGGATTTTATGCTCATTGAGTAATCAATTGTCAGAATACCAAGAAAATAAACAGCACCAATTACAACAATAATTCTAAGACTTAAAGCTCTCACCTTGAGTAATAAATAGAACCTCCTTAAACTTCTAGCTAAATGCCAAACTGTACAAAAATGTAATGTATACTCAACAATTACTAAGTGTATTTTAGTTGCCATCAAGAAGGCCAAAAGATCACAAATGTTGACTTCCTCTGTATTGCTACCTCTGAATTACGGATCTCACTTTGTGAAGTCTGACTACTTTTAAAGTTAAAATGAACTAGACAAGAACCATTACACATAGGCCTGATAGCCTGTTGATCACAGACAGCCGAGGACTGCATAGTTGGTGGAGCTGAGACTGATAAAGGATACCATACATGCCATCCTCAAACTCAAGAGCGGCTCTCCTGATGATCCGCTCCCTGACATCTTCTCCAGGCTTACCAGACTTGGCTTTTCCATCTCCTTCCTTTCGGAGTGATAAACGCTTCAAAGGAAATAGAAACAAATTATTCATGTTTAAGATCAGCTTTCAAGTTTGTCATATTGCTTTAATATAAAAATTTGCAAGAAAAAAAAATAGCCTTCGTTCCCAGTAGCGGGCAAGTCTACAATATAATAAAGCATGACAGAGATCATTCTTTAGGAAGTAAATAAAGCAGGTCAGATTTGTTTGAAAGAAAAGACAGACCTGCTTGCACTGCAAAGCAAACAATCCCCTTGTCATTGCCATTCTGACTACAGCACTGTTCTACCTACAGCTTGACAGCTGAATTCTCCTCAGGTGTTCAGAAAATGGGCCTGAATAAAAGGAAATACATAGGCCCTGGACATCTCTTTCCTGGGGCTGTCAGAATGCGTTTACCAGGTGGTGCTAAGGCTGATTGCCTATTTCTACCTGCAGAGTCTGGATGGGCTTTGCTATGTGTATATCACAGGAATCATGGAAACAACCAGAGAACAGTTCCCATTACTAAATGTCCTTAAAACTGACTGGTTTTTTGTAAATATCCCATCCTAGCTCTCAAGGCACCTGATAGCAATCTAGGACTGCATATTGCTCTGACTCCTAATATTCCCTAACTCCGTAATACTCTACTGACTCCCAATATCAGCTGCTACATATCCATTGGCTCCCAATACCCCCTGTTATGTATCTATTATTGACTCCCAATACCTCCTGTTATATATCTATTGATTCTCAATACCCCCTGATATATATTCCCAATACCCCCTGCTATATATCTATTATGGTGTTATCCCTAGAAACCTTTGAATCTTGGTAGTTCAGTCACTGGAGAAAAGCCTCAGTACTCCTGGTACCCAACTCCTGAATACCTTCATACCCATCATCTGCCTATAGAGCAAAGCTAGTTAAACATTTATTCCATAAAAGACAGAACTATTTCAAGACAGATATTTCTGAGAAAGCATTAATACTTCAGAGTGATAAAGCCATCCAAGACCTGATTGTTCACCTCTACCCTCTAAGATAGCTATCCAAAAAGCATGATTCATAAATTGCAACCTTTGCAGAATCTTGGCACATACAGCAACCTACAAAATCATAAGACATAGAGACACTGTTACACTGGGCAGAAGCACAGTTGGTTCCTTTCCAATGAACACACCAGAAACTCCTCCTACTTCCAATGAATACACCAGAAACTCCTCCTACTTAAGACCCAGAGTAACAGTGCTCTGCTACAACCTTCTATCACCTGGAATGGCCAAAGACACATGTATCGCTGGTAACCAGATCCAAATATACTGGCGAAAAAGAAATCTCTGTAAATTACCTCAATTCTTTTCTCATATTTTTCTCCCTTTATAAGGCGGTGTACGTAAATCTTTGGAATGTGAATATCTTCTGGGGCAAATGATCCAATGTCTACAATTTCTTCAACCTAGAGAAAAGACAGTCATAGCTTAAAATGAACATGTTTATGTTTTTAAAAGTAAAACATACAAGTTCCTGAAATAACATGGATGTGCATCTATATAAGGGCATGCAATATATACCACACCTTTTAAACCTACAACTGAGAAGAAACCAAAATCCGTATGTCTGAATCCAAATGTAGGACATAAAGCAACAGATCTCAGCCTTTTCCAAAAGAACTTTGATTACAAACTGGTCAAATTTATCGAGGCAGCTGCTTGGACTTCATTAATTGCAGCTCAGCAATGCAAAGCTCAAAAGCACACTTTTTAATATTAGTGGGAAATTTATCATATCAAAACCAAAAATCTGTAATAACATCTGTGTGATCAATTGAAGGTTTTAAATATAGACACGAACGCCATTCATGGATGTTTTTAATTATTCCTGTTGTTCACTTCAGAACTGTGACAGAACTGTAATCATTGAGATAATTTTACTCAAAAAAATGGATAATTGATTTTAATGTGGAAATTTCAAGAAGGAATTATTAAGCAATAACTAGAAATAGTCAAATTAATTCCAATCAGAGTCATTCACAGGCACTTTGCAATAATAGAAAATGTCCCCAAGTTAATCTGCTATTTTAGGATATTTTTTTTTCTTTTCACTGTGACATAAATGAACTAAGAATGACAAGGAGTCAAGAAAAACTAACCTCAACATTACATTCTGGTTAAAGCTAATTTTGGTTAAAGAATTAGTTTTCTCGTGGTAAATACATAATCAGCTTAATGAATGTCATACTTGCTGTGGCTTGACCCTCGGATGTTTCCCATGGTCTATGTGAAAAGACTTGGGGCATCCTTAGGTCACTCTGGGGAGGCTATCTTATGTGGAACTATACTCCCATCATCTGTGCACTATGCTGCTCTCTGACCACAGGGAGGAAAGCAGGTTGTTCCATCACACATCCCCCACGACTTCTATCTAGCACCCATCAACGGCCCAAAGGCAGTGAGCCTGTTTGATCATGAAAGAGAAATTCAAAGCCACAAGCCCAAAATGATCCTTTTCTCTTCATGAGTTAATAGTGACAGAAATTTAATACAATGCCTAAATCAAATAATTATTCCCTTAAATGAGCTGACTTATATAAACAAAGAGAGTTATTTTGAACTCGCCATCTAAAATATTAAAGAAACCATGCAGAGTCTGTGGAGCTCACTTCTCACTATGCTATTCTGCTATCCTTCTCACTTGTCTTCTGGTTTCTGCCAGAGAGAAGTAACACAGATTAAAGGAGATGTTTGGTTATTACACAATGCTCCCAGGCAGCTGAAGAACACTGGGACACCAGGTGAAAACTATCTTCCTGATAAGAAAGATCTGGGCAAAAACTAAAATGGCAGGGAAGAATCATGTGGCATCCAAGTTGAGTTAGTGTGTGTAGATGGACTTGGGGACAAGCGAGAAGGACTGAGGATTATGGGGGCCCTGTGTCCTTCTCTAGGGAATGGCAGAAGGACTTCTTGCCCTGTATTCTTGCCATTTCTTGATGAACCTTTCTGGTGTTTCCATGGTATATTCATATTCATTCATAATCTCTCTCTTTCTACCCTCCCTTTCGTCTTTCCTCCTTCTCCTGCTCTCCTCCTCCCTTCTCTCTTTCTCTCTGTGTATGTGGTATACATACATGTTTGTGAGGGTATATGCATGTATGTGCAGGTATCCATGCACATATGTACATGTGTATGTCATGGAGATCAGAAATTGACAATAGTGTCCTTCTCAATCTTCCCTTTTATTTTATCTTATTAGACAAGATTATTGACTGAACTCATTAACTCATCACTTTGACTAGGTCAAATGGCCCATGATCTACAGGGACCCAAGGGTTACAAATGTGCAATGTCACATTTGACTCTTTTATGGTGTGGTTACCAGGGATCCAAACTCAAGTTACACAATGTGCACTGACTGACTTAGCTATTTCCCCAGTCCCTGTCCTGACATTTTTTTCTACAGAGCAGGGATGAGGCTAAAAAGACCAGGTAGTTTAAAGCAGCTAAGCATTGTTGCTGTGTCCGAACCAGGTTGCAACTATAAGCTTCTACAGCTCATTCATAACTTTACATTGTTTTCTATTTAAACCGTCAATGAAGTTCTTGTCTTTAAAAATGTATTCCTGTTATACTGAGGATATATCTATGAAGGCCTATTATTCAAAAAATATTGACCACAGAATTCATTATAAAGTCAGAAACAACATCAATGTTTAAAAGTAGGGAATTGATAGAAATAAATGCCATGTATCCTAACACAATAAAACAATATTGCTTTTGTAATATTGGATAACATCTCACAATTTACTGTTTCTTGAAAATACAATATTTGTTTATAAGCAACTATATCTACTTTAATGCAACTATATCATTTCCTTTTTTCTTTCTTGATAAACATATTAATTGCAAAAATGGTATATATTTGGACACTTTCAATATTGTACAAATAATCCAGGGTAATTAGCCTTTTCTTTCAGCACAGCTATATTTAGTCCTATGAAAAGCAGAAGTACAATGGCATGCTAATAATTCTTCTCTCAGGGTAGCTGTACAAATTATTTCTATGAGAGGGGACTGCTTATAGAGGCCAGAGGGCAACCTTGAGTACCATTCCTTAGCCACTTCCCACCATGCTTTTTGAAAATCTCTCACTGATCTGGAACTGACCAGGTAGCTAGGCTAGATGGCCAACATCTCCAGGAATCTGCTTGTCTTTGCCTTGGGATTGCAAACATTCATCTTCCCCAGGGGTTTTAATTCTGGGTTGTGGGAACTGAGACCATGGCCTCACACTTACATGTATCTCTGGCTCTGTGAAAGGTATTTTTGTTTCCCTTTTAAGGAGAGAAACCTAAAAAAGTTTGGGAACTCGGGTAGGGTGCCCAGGACCTCACAAATGCTAAGCATACACTCTGCCACCAGGAACTCATAAATGTCATGTATTCAAAAAGCACAAGAGATTACTAATTAGATGGGTTCCCAAACCAGGAAGTATAAAAAATGAAGCATGTCAGGGAATTTACAGACACAGACCTAAAGAATGGGCCATGGTAATTCGAACATGGAAAAGCTATAAAACTCAATGGCAACACTCGGACATACAGAAGCCTTTTCCCTATTATCTTGATGACAATAATGTGAACTCTTTCCCATACCTAACACTACTCCAGTCAGCTTCCTGATGTGTCTGCTAGACTTATTCTTCAGCAATATCAAGGAAAAAACTGTAGAGGGGGGGAAGAGAGACTGGTCCTTACTTAAAGTAGAACTCAAGAGTAAACAACAACTACCGATTTTTCTGGTTCCATCAATTAGTTTCTTCAAAACTTACGAAATAGAGACACAGTTTCATGACTAAGGACAATTATGAAGTTCGCACCAAACATGCCCTAGTTTATAATTTTACTAAGCAGCAATTCAGTTAAACATAATGAGTTCCATGCTTTGCAGTGTTGATTTCCACATTGTAGAAAATGCATGTGCAACATTTGTCAAAACAATACCAACACACGACTGTGCCGCACAATTCTGTACAAACAAACAAGGCTTTGCTGGTGTTGGCTAGCAAAGTTGGTAGCAAATGTTTGAAGTGCAACTAAAAGGAGAAAGTCTGTTTTCAGACAATCTATGAGGGGTTCAATGACAACAAAACAGCAGAGGCAGAATTATCGGCATGGTGTCTGTGCACAGGCTGGAGATGGTCCCAGAACTGTGAGATCTTGAGATACATCCAAGAAGAGTCAACAGGGTGATTTGGAAGTCTAATATGATCAAGTTACAATACAGAAAAGAAAAGAAATCTGACATGAATAAAATGAGTTCTTCATAGAGTCCTCAGTGGAGATGGCAGAAGGCACCTCCTAACAGTACAATACCAGAGGAAAATCAAAGGACGGGACGGTGAGTAGGGGGTGAGGCGGAATGATGGGCAAATGTAAGCATCCTCAGACAAGCTCAAGGTTGAAGATCAGTAGCTAAGAACAACCTGCCCTTCTCCCTGGCTCTATGAATAGTTCTCACATGGTGCCATCTGGTACAGCTCAGAATCCAGACACTTGAGGTTTCCCTAATTAGTACCTGTCTTCATCCAGTCATTAGCAGGAAAATCGAGGCTAGGAAATGTTAATCGTTATTGATTTGAACTCTGTTTTTAAAGAATTACTCTCTCTGCCTTGTGCCATCCCTACTTTATAAGTCTGAAGTTTTATTTTAAGGCACTGAGAAAGATAAGTACTCCCCCCACATAACAACTACTTGAACAACATCTCAGGAAGAACAGCAGAGCTGTGAGCAGACACTTTATTTTTTAAGTAATATTCTCTGTTTCTTATATCCACAAATATGGGCCTGATCCTAATAATTGTTGGTGAAAATGGCTGCACAGCTGCAGTCTGCAGTAGGGCAAAGGTGAGGATCCTACAGGAAGCAAGGAAAAGTCTCCTGTCCACACTTCAGCTGTCACAGAGATTAGCAGGAACACTCTTCTTTTGCCAGGAAAATGGTACAAATCTGAAGTAGAGGAGCATTGGCACCACACACAATGGGCTATGGCCTCCTGATCAATCACAAATGAAGAATATGCCTTACAGGCTTGCCTACAGCCTGATCTTATGAAGACATTTCCTCAATTGAGGTTCCCTCCTCTCAGATGACACTAGCTTGTGTCAAGTTGTTGGCATTAAACTATTCAGCACAGGGATCATGGAAGTAGGCAACCTTTAGTAAGTATGGCCCAGTGGAAAGGTCCATAGGTCACTGAGGGAATGTCCTTGAAAGGGATCATAGGATCCTGTCTCTTCCTCATTCCTTCTTCCTAGTCAATGAGTTTGCTCTGCCACACATGTGCCATTTTGTATTGTCTCATGAGAGGCACATAGCAATGTGTATATCCCCAACACCCCTCCCTGAAGCATCACTGGACCAGTAACCTCATAACTGTAAGCCAAATAAATCAGTTTAT